TAAAGACTATAGGAATAGCTTAAGGAACTCAAAGGAAGAGAATATAACCTTCAAGGTGGGAGCTGGGAAATACCAGTCCTCAGGAAACAATGGAACTGCTATCTCTGTACCTCAAAAGTCACGTGGTCCTTTTCTGTCTCTGAACTTTGGACTGAGTAAATGCTTCCTGTCCTTCCTTTTTGTATTTAAACACAGTAAAATCCCATGAGGTAAAAACTGGAGAGTTTCTATAATGCTTCTTTTTACATAAAGTGATGCTGTACTTTGAATAGACTATCTGGTTTTATATGCATTTGGATTGATCTTATTCCAGCATAAGAGGTTGAACTATATTATTAAGAACATTATAATACTACTCATGTCTTTTTCTTCATTTCAGTTTGATGTCTTAATACTTTCTGTTGAGATTTACTGAATTTATTAGCATTTTTTTAAGAGTCTCATGATGACTAGGTGATAGAAAGACAGGCTTGCTGCTTTTCTGGCCACTATGGTTCTTGGACCAGTGATGGACACATCATCTGTGCCCTATCAATTCACTGATTGGCCAGATTCTCTCTCACGAGAAATGGGCCATAGCGACACGTACATGACAATAATTCTGGGGCTGGAGGTTGAACTGAAAGGTCAGATAGAAGCAGAGCAGATCTAGTAACATAGCAAGTGAACGCCACAAACAAGCTGAACAACGGGGACACCCAAGCTGAGGAAATGAGTAAGTTATGGAATTTATTGAATCAATTCTTTTCCACAAAGAATTTGGAAAGGATCTCATGCCTATCTTTGGGAAGAGGGCATGGAGGGAGGTCTAATAATTGAATTAGGTTATTTACATATCTGAGACTAAGGATTTGGGGACAAAGGGAGTATATGTTTTTAAATACCGTTTTCTCCTGATACATCTCCAGGAAGGTTGAATAATTTAAAAGGCCTGGGAAGATTTAGGAGCATTTATAAGGGAAATGCACCATGAATATGACTGGATTAGATGATACAACTGCTAGCTCACAGGTGGTGAATCTGGCTCTGCTTTCTTCATCACGTTCCCTTACTCTAGTATTTGCGGTGGCCTCTCTGTCCTAGAAATGAGGGTGAGGAACTGCTTTCTCAGTGTCGGGTGACAGAAGAGATATGGTAGCTATTGTTGCTGGTTCTCATTGACATATTCTTTCCCCTTGGACACTGATGCTAGAAAGAAAGGAAAAGATTTACAATGTTATCAAAATATAAGTCCTTTGACAGTGACAGGACTATCGCATTTACTGTAGATATTTTACATATTTTTAGATATTACCAGGTAAGAAGCACCATCCATTTCTAGAAAGAATTTTAAAAGAGAAAATAGGTGATTCTAATTTTATTCTTTTTTTAAGTTCAAAGTGTTTTATTATTTTTTGAAAATATATTTTATTGTCAAGTTGGCTAACATACAGTGTGTAAACTGTGCTCCTGGTTTTTGGGGTAGATTCCCATGGTTCATTGCTTACCTAGAACACCCAGTGCTCATCCCAACAAGTGTCGTCTTCAATGCCCATCACCCATTTTCTCCTCTTCCCCACCTCCCCTATCAACCCTCAGCTTGTTCTCTGTATTTAAGAGTCTCTTATAGTTTGCCTCCCTTCCTCTCTGTTTATAACTATTTTTTCCTTTTCCCTTTCCCCATGGTCCTCTGTTAAGTTTCTCAACATCCACATAGGAGTGAAAACATATGATATCTGTCCTCCTCTGACTGACTTATTTCACTCAGCATAATACCTTCCAGTTCCATGCACATTGCTGCAAATGGCATGATTTCATTCCTTCTCATTGCCAACTAGTATTCCATTGTCTATATGAACAATATCTTTATCCATTAATCAGCTGATGGACATTTAGGCTCTATCACTAATAAACTCAGGTCACCTCATTTCTCTGGGCCTCAGTTTTCTTTCCTATAAGAAAAGAGCAAGTATCTTTTGCTCTATTTTTATATTTCTTGTAATTCACATGGTACCCTCTTAAAGTGCCTGTACCCATCCCAATCCAGATGAAAATCTTTGTTTCCCAACCCAAATCAGGATGGGTAATTTTGGAAGAGCAGATCTGCCAACTTTAGATTTTTAGGAACCGATAGATTAAACAAATAAGATGTGCCGTTGGCAAGCAGTTGTTTTGAAAGGGGGGAAAGAGAATCCAGTTAATTACTTGCTATTCAATGGAGTTATACCATTTTAACCCCCCATGCCATACACACATGAGTCCAACCAAATCGTTGTGCATCTGAAACCCATATTGCAGAGGCAGGAGAGTGCAGAGTTTGAGGGCATAGGTCATGGGGCCAGGTTGCCTAATTTGGGAGCCCAGCTCTGCTATTTGCTACTATGTGACCTTGGGCAAATTACTTACCCTCTCTGAACCACATTTTTACCATCTGTGAAATGGCTATAACAATGGCACTTTCCTCAAAGGGTGACTGTGAGGATAAATAAAGCACTCCGTATAGTGTTGAGCACATAGTAAGTGCTCAAAAAAACATTGCTTATAGTTATTATCTAAATGTACTGGTAAGGAAGAGTCCATAGATTCTGGTCTGGGAATGCTTTAAAATGAAGGAAAATGAATTACAGATAAACTCCTTTCAGCTTCCAAGAGGCCTCATTTTTTCCTATGTTAGCATGCCCCCAGTTTGTCCTTTCCACCAAATCATCATGTGAGTGGTAAGGAGCCTCAACTCTTCAGTAAGTTCCAAGAACCAAGGATGGAAGAATCTTTGTAGACAACCCTAAATGGTTACCTATGTAAGTAGGCTGTTTGGGTTTTTCTTAATTACCTAGTTTAGCTTCTTATTTTATAGAGGATTGTCCACCCATATTGGAGAAAAGGGTAGAAAGAGATCTGAAACAACCACTGTCTGGTGCAGGGCAGGGCAGAGCATGGGGAAGGCTGTCTCAAAAAGCCAGAGTCCAGAGGAGGAGAGAATATGGAAGAGAGCTCCATATGAACAGGGCAGAAGGAAGAGACAGAAGAACAAAGTTATAAGAATTTTCTACAAATAGCTCCAACAATAATCATTCAGTTTGGGAACTGAGAAATATCTGTGGAGCTAGGGTCTGCTGTGTCCTAAGCATTCATAGCACTGTGGACAGATGGTATCTTGGAGACCCAACCTTTTCTACAACTCATGAGGGCCTCGTGAAGAAGGCGCCCAAGAAGACAGAAGTAATATGTTGAAATGAGTTAACTCATTCTCAGGGAAGGATATACAGGAGGAGGTGGAGGGTGGTGGTGGAATGTGGCTGCCAACAGCTGGCTTCCTTATAGATACTGTAATTTGTTTAGTGTTTCACTCAGTGTCTAAGAAAGCCACTTATCATTTTGTCCATATCACTTTGGAGTTACTCAAAGACAACATCGTTTTGTTAAAAATCTGATATAAGCCCTCTAATTAGTTTTAGTATAACTATCTAGATGTGGAGGGGTGCTAATGATCAGCAGCTGGTTGCTCTGCTGGTGCCTGGAGAGAAAGCCTTCCCCTAATTGGATTTACCTGCATGGTTTAGTTATCAGAAAAGAAGTAAAATAGAAGAGTTGTTATGGAATAAATATGTGAAATAAGGACAGATATGTGTGCACAAGAGACAGTCAAATATCAAAGCTTGTGCCATCTGTCATATTTATAAAGCTATTATATTCATGTATAAGATCCGATAGAGTTTTAGGGGTTGCCTTGCATAGATCATCATTTTCCAGAGGCCGAGAGTAGTTCAATACTTACTCAAGGTCACCCAGTCTAGTAGGCAACCTGTGACCTACTCAGGAGATCTTTCCACCTAGGCCACTGCCTCTCATGGTGTCATTTAACTGTGTCTTTGGCAGAGAGGGAGTTGTTTCTCTTGTTTTTATCGTGTAGGCTAGGAGACTTCCTTTTAGTAAAAAATAGTAATGAAAGTTACTGTTGGCTATTTTTTAAAAAAAATTCTCTTGGAATGAAGATTTCAAAGATAGCTCCCAGATAGAAGAGATCTGCATGATGATGTGTGAGACAGACCACCCCTTTGCCTTTCCCAGGAGCCATTTCTTATGGAAGACTTAGGCCCTGGGTAAAGACACTGAAACAAGGTGATGGTATTTTGTTAGAAAGGAAAATGCATCGATGAATGGGCCAGAGCAAACATGTGAGAAAATACACCCTCAAAACCTGGCAAGAGGAAGGTGGGCTTGCTTGTTTAAAAATGGTTAAAAATGGCCAAGTGTATGAATAAGCCAAGTTTCTTATATTTGTCTGAGAGAAGAGGTGGCTTATCCAACTACCTTTCAGGGAAGGAGTGTCTCAGCGCTCTGTGACTCTTCAAGTTTGTTCAGGTTTCTAAAATAGGATTACCAAGGAGTCTGACAGCAATGGGAATAATGAAGTGCCCAGAATAAGCAGCAAGGTGGCTTATGTCATGCTGTATGCAGCATCATGAATAAGAGGTGATTTATCCCTTTCATCAGGCCAAGTTCTTCATGAGCAAGACATCTTATTCAAACCAGGGCCACATCCTAGATCATAAATAAAATCCCAAGCAACAAAAGCACCCTTGACCAAATATAATTTAAAATTAGACTGCGTTCATCTAATTTTAGAGGTAAGGAAATGTTTCAGAAACATTTTATACATAATCTGTAAATAATATCATGATCTTTACAAATTTGATATTTAAAATTCTAGTTGGTGAAACTATTGTCAAGCTCTCCCAGGGTTTGAGGGGAATATGAAAAGTACTGTAAGCCACTTGAAGCCAAGGAATATTGAGAAAGCAAGGAAGGGTTGAAGTTTCTACAGCTTCTGCAGGAAATATAAGAATGGAGTTACTGGTTAATGGAAACAAATACACACACACTCACACACACACATACCTATATAAATATATATATATGTTTTTCTATATATGAAAGGACAACAATGTGAACAATCTGCATTTAAATGTTATCTTACTTTTGAAGAGCATCAATATCTTTTTATGTTTTTCTTTTCCTAGTGGAAAATCTGTTTGTGTCTGAGGACGCTCTGCAAACCTTCCCTTCAATACATATGGGGATGAGTAAAAAGCCTTAGATGATCATTTTGAGGTGAAAAAGGCCTCTTATGTTTGCTTTTATTATACCATCACAAAATTTCGAAGAATTTTTATTTATTATTTATTTTCATTACAGAAAAACTAAAATGTATTGTAGGCCACTATTTACCAAGTAAAGCTTTTAATAAGGTCATTAAAATGACTTCCTAAATCTACCGTGGCTATTTTTTTTTTTTTTTTTAGATAAAATGAAGGGAACGGCTCTCATGGCAACCTCTGCCCTCTGTTGTAAATTGACCTTGCACATGCCTGTCTGCTATGTGAACCGTGAACAATTTTTTGGAACTCTTTCAACCCTCTTTCTTTACTCGTTGTGGTAGTTAACATCTACAATGAATGATAAATCTGTAAGAGGCATACTGCAACACTGCTCATTAATTACAACACGTGCTACAAATTCGTAGGTAGATTGAGGCTGTGATGATACACATGAGTAAGTTGTTGAGGGCATCGGGTTTATGTAGTTCCCTTTGTTCTTCATATGACAGAGTTGTAAGGGACATACTGCCGTTACCAATGCAACAATGTTCTAGGTGAGAGACTCTTGAATGCTGAGAAACAAACTGAGGACTGATGGATGTGTGGGGGGAGAGGGGAGATGGGCATGCAGGAGGGCACTTGTGGGGATGAGCACTGGGTGTTATATGGAAACCAATTTGACAATAAACTATTTGTAAAAAAAAAAAAAAAAAATCCAAAACAATGTTCTAGGGATCTCTTCCTAAATAGCATCAGTTCAAAAGCCAGAAAGCTGTTAGCTCTTGCCTATATTATACAACTACAACTTAGTTTACTAGTTTTTTCCTTAAGCTTTTTTCTTTTTTTGTAAGCTTAACAGAGTGCAGAATGAATGCACTGTTCAACTGCTGATTCTTTCACTCAGTCTTCTTCTTCAGAACTAAAAACTATGGAGGGGCACCTGGATGGCTCAGTTGGGTAAGTGCCTGACTCTTGGTTTCAGCTCAGGTCATGATCAGCTCAGGTCATGATCTCACTGTTCCTGAATTTGAGCCCCACATCCAGCTCTGTGCTGACAGCTTGGAACCTGCTTGGGATTCTCTCCCTCTATCTCTGTCTCTCCCCCACTAAATAAATAAATACTTAAAGAAAACTGTACTGCAGACTTGGCTCACTTAAAATCAAATTCGTTGGACGTTTTATAGATTTGGTAGTTTAGATTGTTATGTCTTCATTCACAGTAACTTAGAATAAGAAAAACAACAAGCAGTTTCTTTTAGAACTTTCCTAAATGAATTTAGGCGTGGAAGATGCCAAAAGTCACCACCCAAAGGGCCATGGGAGCTAAGGTTAATAGTCACTGTAAATAAGAATCTTGAAATGGAAATAGAGTAAGTGAATGATTATAACTGGATGATCTTTACTGCGTGGATACTCATAGGGTGATTTCGGGTGTTGGACTCTGGCTGTCTGAATTTTGATTTGCCATTTAGTATTATATCACCCTGGGGAAGTTGTATGGTGTTGTGGAGTGTCAGAATAAAATGAAATTAGAACAGTGACTTCCTCATAGTGCTTGAGGACTAAATGAGGTGGTGGATCCAAAGCTTCTCACGCAATACCTGGTTACAGTTACCGTTATTATGTTATTATAATCTAAACGTAGTGACATATAAAGGATTAAGTGAGCCGCTTATCTTGAAATTCTCATAAGTCTAGAGACTTATTCGTAACAATTCATATTGTTAGTTATATTGTAAGTCACATTTTATTTCTGTTTTCAGATAAAGAAAATAGAAGGAATAACGTAATTAATTTTATTACTGAGTTAAATGTTAAGATATTTTAAGAAGTGCTTCTGATATTGGGATATGGTAACAGTTTGGAATGTGAGTCACACTATCCGTTATGTAGTGTGACTTAATCTGTCAAGGAGTTCAATGATTGCATTTTCCCCTTTTATTTTTAGCTTTGCAAAACAAGTTGAACATTTTGCTTTTTAAGTTTCACTTGAGGGGAAAATGTCTATACTATACTCTTTGCCAAGATTTGCCCTCTTTCTGTTATATGATAAAATCTATTCAGTTCAGCTTAATTCTCTATGGCCAAACCATTTCTCTGTCCTGGAAGAATAAATGTTGATGCAGACATTTATTTTAATGGTAATAGCTAAGGGAAGTTGCAAGTGCTAACAGCTAAGGATAGCTAGGTTACAAGAACTTGGTTCAGGAAGATGAAACCCAACCAAAAGAAGAAGGTTAAGCCCCCATTCATTCCAGCGCTCCCATTTCATTTCTGCTGGAATGAATGGGGGCTTATTCCAGTTGCTTGTGCATTCACTTTTACCATTACTTCTGCATTCTATACATAGAGAACTGGAAATGGTTCATTCCTGGATCTGTTGCTCTGGGCAAGGGATGAAGATGGACAGTCACCGCCTGGACCCTCCTCTGTGCCTGGTGCTCTCTGAGCAATGGTAATGGTGATGGTACTCAACCACTCTCCAGCAAGTAGCATCCTTTCTTTTCTCTTTTTTCTCTCTCATTCTTCTATATCTTTATTCAATAAATACATAGTCTCCAAATGCGAGAGACCAGCTCAAAAAACTCATTACTGAGTTGATGTGTCCTGCAGTGACCCCCAAGGAGTTCTCCACATGACTATCAATGTGCCATCAAGTAGATTCTGGGTCCCTCAACTTAAACTGATTTTCAGGTCTAGTAAGTACCCATGTGGTAACACCGTTGTTAAAAGAACGTGGAGACTCATGCCAGTCAGAGTGGCTAAAATTAGCAAATCAGGAGACTCTAGATGCTGGTGAGGATGTGGAGAAATGGGCACCCTCCTACACTGTTGGTGGGAATGTAAACTGGTGCAGCTTCTCTGGAAAACAGTGTGGAGACCCCTCAAAAAATTAACGGTAGAACTCCCCTATCACCCAGCAATAGCACTGCTAGGAATTTACCCAAGGGATACAGAAATGCTGATGCATAGGAGCACTTGTACCCCAATGTTCACAGCAGCACTCTCAACAGTAGCCAAATCATGGAAAGAGCCTAAGTGTCCATCACCTGACGAATGGATCAAGAAGATGTGGTTTATCTATACCATGGAATACTACGTGGCAATGAGAAAGAATGAAATCTGGCCATGTGTAGCAACATGGATGGAACTGGAGGGTGTTATGCTGAGCGAAATAAGTCAGGCAGAGAAGGACAGATACCATATGTTTTCACTTATAGGTGGATTAGGAGAGACTTAGGGAGGACCATGGGGGAAGAGAAGGGGAAAAATAGTTGGGGAGAGGGAGGGAGGCAAAGCATGAGAGACTCTTGAATGATGAGAACAAACTGAGGGCAGATCGGGGTGGGGGGGAGGGGAAGGGGAATGATGGGCATCGAGGAGGGCACTCGTGGGGATGAGCACTGTGTGTTATATGGAAACCAATTTGACAATAAACTATGAATGAAAAACAAAAGGAAAAAAAAAGAACGTGGAGAAAGAGAAAGCTTATTTGTCCCATGACTACATTTTCTAAGAAAAAACTTAAAATGCACCATCTTATTTTCATATGTGAAAAACAGTAGTTTGTATGGAAGTGGATCTTCGGCCCTCCAGGAGCGCATTTGTAGTGCCTACAGAGTTCCAGGTTGCTTGGCAAAGTACACACACCAAAAACCACGTATGGCTGTCACTTCAGAGACACTCAGTTGAGACAACCCAGAACAAGCTCTGAATGAGGGCCGAAAATTGTGAGGGCAGCACTGTGTTTTATTTATTTATTTATTTATTTTACACACAAACAAAATAAACAAAGACCAAGCCATAAATGTATCATTTCCCATCAGAAGGGGAACACCAATAATGGGGTTGGGGTTTGCAGTGCCAAGTTCTCTCAAGTTAAAAGTACACTGATGCGAAGCAGATGAAATTTCATCTGTGGCTTGCAAATGAAAGCTTTTTAATGGTGAAATGGAACCACTTCTGCCCCATAGTTGTGCTGAAGCCTCAGGTTCAATAGAAGTTCAAGGCTTCTTTTTCTCAGCAAGCTGAAGGCAGGCATCTTGGTAAACATGTTCTAAAGAATTCATGGGGAGCATACTAAAGGTTTAATGAGTAGGGCTTCTGAAAGCCAAGAAATTAAAAAAAATTCCCCAAATTAACAGTCTACTGTTTAGGTTTATTTTTCAAAAATACGTCAATCTAATGTACATAGAACTAAGTCTCATCAAATGGAGGCTAGTTGATAAAGAATACCTTGGGTAATACACTTCATTGCCTTTTCATTTGTACATGGTAATGAATTTGGCAACCATCATGCCCCTTATTATAAATTTAAGGAATGGGATCCTAACCATCCCTAAGTCCTCTGTTTTCTGAGTAGGGCATTTTAGGGCACCATTATTGTAGTTAAAGCATTAATGCTGAAAGAAGTGATAGCCTTTAGGAGAGCTGGAGAGGTGAGGGTTTTGTAGTTCTTTATCTGTGACTAAATCTGTATTTTAAGTTATCTGCTCATTTTATATCATTTTCAGCCTCAGTGACATAGAATCCTACCATTTTTTTTTCTCCAGTCATTTTATACTTCTTATGGGAGGTGGAGGTGGGGAAAGAAGATGGGGTTGTATGATAAGGTTTGTGTGAGTCTGAGCTGTCACCGTGGAGGAAAATGCAAAAGACTCCCTCTGACAGGTGCCTGTGGCACCTGATGCTAAAATGTATGGCTGAAGAGTATAGTCAGCCTTCCGGATGCTTGTCCCCAAGTTCTGCAACACCCCCAACCAGGAAATTCCAAGTTCATTCAATTTCTTCATAGAATAAAATGATACCACCACGAATCTACCCTTGCTTTAAAGGTGAAATCTCCAACCAGGCAGGAAGAATCCTCAAGGTGGCAGCACCTTCACAGCTTTCAAATCCTCCCCTATTGAAGTTTTTAATTAAAAGATCCGGTAAACCGCATAAAAATAGTGCATCCAGGAATAACACCTCTAGGGCACCACC